TAATTGAAGAGATGTTTTTCTCTGCCGCTGTTTGTGAGATAAGGTAATGGCCAGACACGCAGCAGACGCTCAAGTCGAACACAGAGAGAGAGAAAGAGTGTGTACCTGCGTGTTCCTCCTATGCTGGCTGCTCCCAGCTCCAGACAGCTGTTTTAAACTAAACTATAAAATCTCTCCAGAACTTAACAAAGGCTCAGTATGGAAAAACAATTGGGTTGTTTGGACAGAATGTCTATAAAGTAGAGTGGTTGGTCAAGAGGTTCTGGTAATGCCCCTTCATGTTTTTCCTCCGGTATATACAGAACAGTACTCCCTGATACCAGAACATATAAACAGAAGTGGAACTAGAAATGGAACCAACTCTCTTATCCCGCTCTCTATCGCTATGTGTTTTTCTCTCTTTCTCTCTTTCTCTCTTTCTCTTGTTCTCTCTTTCTCGTTCTCTCTTTCTCTTTCTCGTTCTCTCTCTCTCTCTCTCTCTCTCTCTCTCTCTCTCTCTCTCTCTCTCTCTCTCTCTCTCTCTCTCTCTCTCTCTCTCTCTCTCTCTCTCGTGCCCTGTCTTCCCCCTCACCATCTCAATCTCCCACACACTCACTCCTTTTTCTATTTCTCTCATTCTCTATGAATTGTCCTGGCTGAGTTCTTACTCTTCTACTCCCACACCTACTGTCCAGTTCCCCCACCCCTCCCCTTAAAGTGATGGCCATAATGAATTTGACTGCCTGCTCTATTGAATGGCTCTCTCTCTGGGTGTCTGCACTTAAGTGTATTGCGAGACTGTCGTATTTTCCCCAGGCTGTCGGTTAAATGTTTTTGTGTTTGCAATAGATTTTTTTTGAAAAGCCTCTCTCCTTTAACCAGAGAAGCAGGCACAGAGCCAAAAGTCTCCCAAAAGGCTGAATTTAACATAGAGGATGGTGCGTGTGTGTGCGTGCGTCCGCGCATGTTCTTGCGCGCTCGTGTGTGTGTGTTCCTGCATGCATGTGTCTCTGTTTGTGTGTGCGTGTGCGCACAGGCCTTTGTGTGGTTATGTGGGCCTACACTGTACGTCTTTGTCTGTACGGCCCGTCTGTGCTGTTTGAAGATACAAAGGGAAAAAGAGAAAGGTGGGGAAACAAGGTGTGGTGGAGAAAAGGAAAGTCAGATAAGGTACATTTATTTTTTTAATTTTTTTTATTTCACCTTTATTTAACCAGGTAAGCCAGTTGAGAACAAGTTCTCATTTACAACTGCGACCTGGCCAAGATAAAGCAAAGCAGTGCGATAAAAACAACAACACAGAGTTACATATGGGGTAAAACAAAACATTAAGTCAAAAATACAACAGAAAATATATATACAGTGTGTGCAAATGTAGCAAGTTATGGAGGTAAGGCAATAAATAGGCTATAGTGCAAAATAATTACAATTAGTATTAACACTGGAATGATAGATGTGCAAGAGATTATGTGCAAATAGAGATACTGGGGTGCAAATGAGCAAAATGAATAACAATATAGGGATGAGGTAGTTGGGTGGGCTAATTTCAGAATGGCTGAGTACAGGTGCAGTGATCGGTAAGGTGCTCTGACAACTGATGCTTAAAGTTAGTGAGGGAGATAAGAGTCTCCAGCTTCAGAGATTTTTGCAATTCGTTCCAGTCATTGGCAGCAGAGAACTGGAAGGAATGGCGGCCAAAGGAGGTGTTGGCTTTGGGGATGACCAGTGAGATATACCTGCTGGAGCGCATACTACGGGTGGGTGTTGCTATGGTGACCAATGAGCTAAGATAAGGCGTATTTATACATATTTGCAAATACATATTTGCACACGCGCACAAACAAACACACACACCACGCTGGATGGGGGCTGCACTTGACTGTGAAGTCCTTAAGGACAGGATTGATTCCTCACTGGGAGGGGCCGTGCTCTTGGCCTCTGTCGTGATAGATGTGTTGGTGAAGACATATGGTGACACGAAATGCAGGCGAATTGGCTGCAGCTATAAGTGACCTTTTAAGAACACTGTTTGGCTTTTTTCCAATTTCTTTTCTGCCACTTTTTCTTGCTGAGCGAATGTTTCGGTCTCAAATGTCTCAGTCAGACATTCACTTTGTTCTCTGTTTTTCAACTTCCCCCTGAGCACCGACACCTTAGCATTCAGGACAGATTTTCTTACTTTGTGATATTGGTGGCATAATGTTCTAGAAAGGCGTGGGAAACAAAAAGGTAAAGGGAAGATGAGGACAAGCGGCCATTTTAATTTTAATGCATTTCCACAGCAGTTGACTTTGCTATACTTCTCTGTCACAGAATGCATAAAGATGATGTTTGTTTCTGTCATCATCAATGTTAATGTACCCCTCTATGTAAAGAATATTTCCCTTAGATGAATAGCCAGTGCTTTTTGTTTCGCAGGGGTACATTTAATAACCAACTGGCTGATAAGCAGGAAAAGGACTGCTTTGTGTTGATTGAGTATGGTGTGCTCAGCAGATATAGAGTTTACATTTATGTATCCCTAATGTTTGTAACACATAGAATGTATGTTTTCTATATACACTGCTCAAAAAAATTAAGGGAACACTAAAATAACACATCCTAGATCTGAATGAATGAAATAATCTTATTAAATACTTTTTTCTTTACATAGCTGAATGTGCTGACAACAAAATCACACAAAAATTATCAATGGAAATCAAATAGATCAACTCATGGAGGTCTGGATTTGGAGTCACCCTCAAAATTAAAGTGGAAAACCACACTACAGGCTGATCCAACTTTGATGTAATGTCCTTAAAACAAGTCAGAATGAGGCTCAGTAGTCTGTGTGGCCTACACGTGCCTATATGACCTCCCTACAACGCCTGGGCATGCTCCTGATGAGGTGGCGGATGGTCTCCTGAGGGATCTCCTCCCAGACCTGGACTAAAGCATCCGCCAACTCCTGGACAGTCTGTGGTGCAACGTGGCGTTGGTGGATGGAGCGAGACATGATGTCCCAGATGTGCTCAATTGGATTCAGGTCTGGGGAACGGGCGGGCCAGTCCATAGCATCAATGCCTTCCTCTTGCAGGAACTGCTGACACACTCCAGCCACATGAGGTCTAGCATTGTCTTGCATTAGGAGGAACCCAGGGCCAACCGCACCAGCATATGGTCTCACAAGGGGTCTGAGGATCTCATCTTGGTATCTAATGGCAGTCAGGCTACCTCTGGTGAGCACATGGAGGGCTGTGCGGCCCCCCAAAGAAATGCCACCCCACACCATGACTGACCCACCACCAAACCGGTCATGCTGGAGGATGTTGCAGGCAGCAGAACGTTCTCCACACCGTCTCCAGACTCTGTCACGTCTGTCACATGTGCTCAGTGTGAACCTGCTTTCATCTGTGAAGAGCACAGGGCGCCAGTGGCGAATTTGCCAATCTTGGTGTTCTCTGGCAAATGCCAAACGTCCTGCACGGTGTTGGGCTGTAAGCACAACCTCCACCTGTGGACGTCGGGCCCTCATACCACCCTCATGGAGTCTGTTTCTGACCGTTTGAGCAGACACATGCACATTTGTGGCCTACTGGAGGTCATTTTGCAGGGCTCTGGCAGTGCTCCTCCTGCTCCTCCTTGCACAAAGGCGGAGGTAGCAGTCCTGCTGCTGGGTTGTTTCCCTCCTACGGCCTCCCCCACGTCTCCTGATGTACTGGCCTGTCTCCTGGTAGCGCCTCCATGCTCTGGACACTACGCTGACAGACACAGCAAACCTTCTTGCCACAGCTCGCATTGATGTGCCATCCTGGATGAGCTGCACTACCTGAGCCACTTGTGTGGGTTGTAGACTCCGTCTCATGCTACCACTAGAGTGAAAGCACCGCCAGCATTCAAAAGTGACCAAAACATCAGCCAGGAAGCATAGGAACTGAGAAGTGGTCTGTGGTCACCACCTGCAAAACCAGTCCTTTATTGGGGGTGTCTTGCTAATTGCCTATAATTTCCACCTGTTGTCTATTCCATTTGCACAACAGCATGTGAAATGTATTGTCAATCAGTGTTGCTTCCTAAGTGGACAGTTTAATTTCACAGAAGTGTGATTGACTTGGAGTTACATTGTGTTGTTTAAGTGTTCCCTTTATTTTTTGGAGCAGTGTAATAATAATAATATAATATATGACATTCAGCAGATGCGTTTATCCAAAGTGACTTAGTCATGTGTGCATTCATTTGACATATGGGTGGTCATGGGAATCAAACCCACTACCCTGGTGTTACAAGCACCATGCCCTACCAACTGAGCTACATTTGTTCTATTGATGTCCTCTCTGGTGGAGCTGTATTTTGATGATGCGAGTGAATACACACACACACACACACACACACACACACACACACACACACACACACACACACACACACACACACACACACACACACACACACAAACTGTGGAAAAGCTGAGTGAGAAAGCAGCAGGCAACCTTTTACCAGCGTTCTAACTGTCTCTAAATGGCAGAAGAAACAGTCCTTTGTGACTCTAACCTGTCATACAAACACCACCTTGTTGTGAGACTGAACAGAGTGGAAGCCCCTTAACAAAGTCCCTATTGACACCGACTATGTGCATGTGCGTGTGTGTCTGGTTTGAGACTGTCAGGCAGAGAGGGAAGCTTCGCCAGGGAACATGACTGAGAAACTCCATTATATGATGAGTGAAATTACTCTGCTAAATCAGCATTTCCTCTTTGAAGCCCTTCAGGTTTTATTTTATGGAATAGAATTAGCTAATGAATCAGCAGGACCAAGCAGCTGATGCACTGGTTAGGAAGCCAGTGGCTGGGGGCCAGAGGGGATATCATGGACCATTTTGTAAATGTGTGGAAAGTTAAACAGACATACGTCTGGAGAGGGAGAAAGAGATGCCTTGAACAAGTGGAATAAGAGTAGGCCCTCAATCAATGACATGTTGACTTGTTGTGTGGTGGTTACTGTCATATTTAATGAGTACTATCTGCTGTGTGTTTCTTCCTCAGGGTTCATCTACACAGGTGATGTGGTCCACAGGATGCTGACGGCCACCCAGTACATTGCCCCCCTCATGGCCAACTTTGACCCCAGCGTCTCCAGGAACTCAACCGTCATCTACTTTGACAATGGTACATGGCATTCAATCTCTATTTTCTATGCTCTGTCCTTAAGATTGTAGCAACTCCAGCTACCAGATCCCACTGACAGCAGTGTGTAATTTGCAAGATGCAAAGCTGAGAGCCATGGCTCTCAAAGGCATGCTATAGCACATGACGAACTGCACCAGAAGCACAGACTATTGGTGAAAAAAACATACTGGGCTCTTTCAAAAACAGTTCAATCTTATGGTTGGAATCTCTTCTCTGCCAAGTGAGCCTTCATTGCTTGCCAATCTCCCCAAATCAGTGTCTGCATCCCAAATGGCACCGTATTCCCTATTTAGGGAATAGGGTGTCATTTAGGATGCAGTTAGTGACTGACCAGCTGAATGACCTTTTCCAGTGGAGCTCATCATAGGTTAGGCAGTGTGGCAGCTGATCAATACCCAGCCTAGCTGCTCTTTACCAGTCCATCCATCAGTCAATGCCAGTGCTGCATGTAGACTGGAACCTCAGCCTTGCCTCACTACCTCATGCACATCCAATTAAAACCTGAATCATCTACTTTAAATGTAGCCCTCCATGGTAACCCACTGACAACCTTGTTACGTCTCAAATTACACCCTATTCCCTATATAGTGCACTGCTTTCGATCAGGCCCCTTTGCACTATATAGGGAATAGGGTGCCATTTGGGACACACATCCACTGACAGCCTCTCTTTCTCACTTTAAGAACTATTCAACATTGTAAGAAGTTGTGTAGATGTATATTGAACGTTTTCAAATCCTATGCAGTCATCGTCCCCCTGCCGACTAGTACACTCTGTTCCCAGTGTGTCGAGAAAGATTTGTTTTGCCTAGCTTTCTGCAGCATATAAGCCATTTAGGGAAAAACAAGGCCAGCTTGTGCAGTGCACTCATTCTCACCCAGTCTGTATTTTTAGAAGAGGGAGCCCCAGATAGCACGGCTGGTTTCTCTCTGAACTCAATGCATTTTAAGTAGGCTCAGGCCTTCTATTAGGCTTACCTTATAGCGCTGACTGGTGGAACTCACACGGCCACCAAGGAGTAGCCACCCTACTCTCTTTTCCTTCCTCGAATCTACCTATAACTCTGTCTACCTCTACACGTTTTCACTTTGCCCTCAATTGCCCCCTCTCTCCCTCCCTGCCTCCCCATCCAAAACATAATCCAAGCAGAGTAGCGTTGCATTCCCAGCCCCCTGTACACTGTTGTGGCCAGGACCTATTCTCAGTCAGATAGATAGAGCATTCAGACAGACAGGGTTACTGTAACAACCACTGTATGCGTCCCAAATGGCACCCTATTCCCTATATAGTGCAACACGTTTGACCAGGGCACATAGGGCACCCCATTTCCTATATAGGGAGTATCCACTGACATACCCTGCCCCGATTCCTGTCCTCTCTACATCAAGCATGCAGCCCCATGCCCTGGCCAGGTCATCGAGAATCCTGTAGCATCAGCCTCATGTATAAGCCTTCTGGAGGCCAGATGTGGATATTATGGGGTTTCCTGTAGCACTACAGCTGCAGTACTCCTAGCTGTCAGCAGATAAACTAAATCCCCACTTTACTTTGGACAGGAGAGGGGCTCTGGCTGTGTGATGGAAAAATTGATTACTTGTGTTAACAAAACTTTATTGCTCTGGCTCTTGGCCAAATGACTGTCTGGCTGCATGGGAGAGCGAATGCATCACTTTCATATCCAAAGGCTCTCAAAAGTCCACACTAAATCAAAACAGCATGGGGAGGAACGGGAGGCTTGCAGTCCGGGGTAGGGATGTGCACGGTTATTTGAAAGTGTGAATATTCGAACGGAGGTTAGTATTCGAATACTTGTGTGAGGCCTATTTTAACCTGATTTTAACACTGAAAAGGCTTTTCTAAATTAAATTAAAATATCCATGTAACTATGTTTTTTTTTATTGTATATATATATATATATATATATATATATATATATATATATATATATATATATATATATATTATTATTTTAAAAAAATTCCCTAGATATGGCGCCGACGAAGATGGTGGCCTTCGCGACTAGCTCTTAGGAAACTTTGCGGTATTTTGTTTCTTTATGTATTATTTTTTACATTATTAGCTCAGAAAGTGTTTTGTATCATTACATACAGCCGGGAAAAACTATTGGATATCAGAGTGGCGGTAACTCACCAGCGTTACGACCAGGAAGACGACTTTCCCGAAGCAGATCCTTTGTTTGCTCTCCCCAGGGCAATTGAACTGATTCCAGCGGCTGACCCAAAACATCGCCGGCGGAGGAGAGGCACTCGGAGCGGCCTGCTGGTTCGACTTAAGAGGCACGCACACCACCCACCGCTTCCAAGTATACTACTCGCTAATGTTCAGTCTCTGGTTAACAACCTCGACGAGCTCGGGGCAAGGATTTCTTTCCAGAGAGACATCAAGGCCTGTAACATACTTTGTTTCACGGAAACATGGCTCTCTGGGGATATTCTGTCGAAATCAGTCCAGCCAGATGGGTTCTAAGTTCATCGCGCAGACAGGAATAAATATCTCTCCGGGAAGCAGAAGGGCGGAGATGTGTGTTTCATGATTAACGACTCATGGTGTAATTGTTGTAACATACAGGAACTCAAGTCCTTTTGTTCACCTGACCTAGAATACATCACAATCAAATGCCAACCATATTATCTCCCAAGATAATTTTCTTCAGTTATAGTCATGGCCGTGTATATCCCCCCTCAAGCCGATACCACGACGACCCTCAAAGAACTTCACTGGACTTTATGTAAACTGGAAACCACATATCCTGAGGCTGCATTTATTGTAGCCGGGGATTTTAGCAAAGCAAATTTGAGGACTAGGCTGCTGAAGTTCTATCAACATATCGACTGTTGTACTCGCGCTGCTAAAATCCTCGACCATTGCTATTCGAACTTCCGGGATGGTTATAAGGCCCTCCCCCGCCCTCCTTTCGGCAAATCTGACCACGACTCCATTTTGCTCCTTCCTTCCTATAGGCAGAAACTCAAACAGGAAGTACCCATGCTAAGGACTATTCAACGCTGGTCTGACCAATCGGAATCCACGCTTCAAGATTGTTTTGATCACGCGGACTGGGATATGTTCCGGGTAGCTTGCGAAAATAATTTAGACTAATACACTGAAACGGTGACTGAGTTTATCAGGAAGTGTATAGGTGATGTTGTGCCCACTGTGACTATTAAAACCTACCCTAACCAGAAACCGTGGATAGATGGCAGCATTCGTGCAAAACTGAAAGCGTGAACCACCGCATTTAACCATGGCAAGGTGACTGGGAATATGGCAGAATACGAACAGTGAAGCTACTCACTCCACAAGTCAATTAAACTGGCAAAACATCAGTATAGAGACAAAGTGGAGTCGCAATTCAACGGCTCAGACACGAGACGTATGTGGCAGGGTCTACAGACAATCACGGACTACAAAAAGAAAAGCAGCCACGTTGCCGACACCGACATCTCGCTTCCAGACAAGCTAAACACCTTCTTCGCCCGCTTTGAGGATAACACAGTGCCACTGATGAGGCCCACTACCAAGAACTGTGGCCTCTCCTTCTCCGTGGCCGACGTGAGTAAGACATTTAAGCATGTTAACCCCTGCAAGGCTGCCAGCCCAGACGGCATCCCTAGCCGCGTCCTCAGAGCATGTGCAGACCAGCAGGCTGGTGTGTTTATGGACATATTCAATCTCTCTCTTTCCCAGTCTGCTGTTCCCACATGCTTCAAGATGGCCACCATTGTTCCTGTACCCAAGAAAGCAAAGGTAACTGAACTAAATGACTATCGCCCCGTAGCACTCACCTCTGTCATCATGAAGTGCTTTGAGAGACTAGTCAAGGATCATATCACCTCTACCTTACCTGTCACCCTAGACCCACTTCAATTTGCTTACCGCACCAATAGATCCACAGACGATGCAATCGCCATCACACTGCACACTGCCCTATCCCATCTGGACAAGAGGAATACCTATGTAAGAATGCTGTTCATTGACTATAGCTCAGCATTCAACACCAGAGTACCCTCCATGCTCATCATTAAGCTCGAGGCCCTGGGTCTGAACCCCGCCCTGTGCAACTAGGTCCTAGACTTCCTGACGGGCCGCCCCCAGGTGGTGAAGGTAGGAAACAACATCTCCACTTCGCTGATCCTCAACACTGGGGCCCCACAAGGGTGCGTGCTCAGCCCCCTCCTGTACTCCCTGTTCACCCATGACTGCGTGGCTAAGCACGCCTCCAACTCAATCATCAAGTTTGCAGACGACACAACAGTAGTAGGCTTGATTACCAACAATGACGAGACCGCCTACAGGGAGGAGGTGAGGGCTCTGGGAGTGTGGTGCCAGGAAAATAACCTCTCACTCAATGTCAACAAAACAAAGGAGATGATCGTGGACTTCAGGAAACAGCAGAGGGTGCACCCCCCTATCCACATTGACGGGACCGCAGTGGAGTAGGTGGAAAGCTTCAAGTTCCTTAACGTACACATCACTGACAAACTGAAATGGTCCACCCACGCAGACAGTGTGGTGAAGAAGGCGCAACAGAGCCTCTTCAACCTCAGGAAGCTGAAGAAATTTGGCTTGGCACCTAAAACCCTCACAAACTTTTACAGATGCACAATTGAGAGCATCCTGTCGGGCTGTATCACCGCCTGGTACGGCAACTGCACCGCCCGCAACCGCAGGGCTCTCCAGAGGGTGGTGCGGTCTGCCAAACGCATTACTGGGGGCAAACTACCCGCCCTCCAAGACACCTACAGCACCCGATGTCACAGGAAGGCCAAAAAGATCATCAAAGACATCAACCATCCGAGCCACTGCCTGTTCACCCCGCTATCATCCAGAAGGCGAGGTCAGTACAGGTGCATCAAAGCTGGGACCAAGAGAATGAAAAACAGCTTCCATCTCAAGTCCATCAGACTGTTAAATAGCCATCACTAGCACATTAGAGGCTGCTGCTGCCTATTGAAATCACTGGCCACTTTAAGAAATGGAACACTAGTCACTTTAATTATGTTTACATATCTTGCACTGCTCATCTCAAATGTATATACTGTATTCAATTCTATAATATTCTACCGTGTCTTAGTCCATGCTGCTCTGTCATTGCTTGTCCATATATGTATATATTCTTAAATTCCATTCCTTACTAGATTTGTGTGTATTGGGTATATGTTGTGAAATTGTTAGATGTTACTTGTTAGATATTACTGCACTGTCGGAGCTAGAAGCACAAGCATTTCGCTACACCCGCAATAACAAGACAGGCACTGTTATATGGGATGATAAATAATATTTTGGCTGCTACAAGTTAGCTAGACTTGGCTGTAGCCGAGTTGCCTTGGCATCTCTCTCTCTCTCCATCCATTGGGATTTCAATGTGGCCCTTTGTTTTAGAAATAGTGATATTTGGGAGATGATTTCCATTTCAAATAACTGAAAGTGAGAGGTTGTAATCTGAATAAAGGGAAAAAGGCCATTTGTCACGATCGTCATACATAGAGGAGGACCAAGGCGCAGCGTTGAAGGCGAGCATATTTATTATATTAATGATCACACGATCAAAACAACAAAACGATGACGTGACAGTCAATGGTAAACACAAACCAAATACGAACAAGAAACCACAATGAATGAGTGCCAAACGGCTACCTAAGTATGACTCCCAATCAGAGACAACGAGCTACAGCCGTCTCTGATTGGGAGCCACCCTGGCCAACATAGATCTACAAAACCAGAAAGTGAAACCTAGAACCCACATAGACTATACACACCCTGGCTCAACATATTAGAGTCCCCAGAGCCAGGGCGTGACAGTATCCCCCCCTAAAGGCGCGGACTCCGACCGCGCCCACCAAACACCACAGGGGAGGGACCGGGTGGGCACTCCGCTTAGGCGGCGGATCCGGCTCCGGGCCTGATCCCCGCTCCCTCTCCAACCCCCCAAAGTACCCCTGGTCCGGTCTGGCCCCGCTGGCCGGAGCTGGACTGCACACTGGTGGAGCGGATTGCTCCAGCTCCGGCGTGAAGCATCTGACCGGTGCCGGACCAGCCACCGGTGGAACAGGCACGGGCCGTGCCGGACTGACGACGCACACCACTGGCTTGGTGTGGGGAGCAGGAGCGGGCCGAGCCGGGCTGTCGAAGCGCACCACTGACTTGGTGCGGGGAGCAGGAACGGGCCGAGCCGGGCTGACGAAGCGCACCACTGACTTGGTGCGGGGAGCAGGAACGGGCCGAGCCGGGCTGACGAAGCGCACCACTGACTTGGGGCGGGGAGCAGGAACGGGCAGAGCCGGGCTGACGAAGCGCACCACTGACTTGGTGCGGGGAGCAGGAACGGGCCGAGCCGGGCTGACGAAGCGCACCACTGACTTGGTGCGGGGAGCAGGAACGGGCCGAGCCGGGCTGACGAAGCGCACCACTGACTTGGTGCGGGGAGCAGGAACGGGCCGAGCCGGGCTGACGAAGCGCACCACTGACTTGGTGCGGGGAGCAGGAACAGGCCGGACTGGGGACACACATCACTGGTCCTACGCAGGGATCTGGAATGGGCCGGACCGGACTGGTAACACACCCCAGTACCTCTCGCCGTGCCTCTACACCTTCCACCCCCTCTTCGACCAGTGGCCCCCGTAACCTGGCGGCCTCCTCTGCCAATCCGCTGGGCCGCTCTGCCGCGGTCTCCTGCTGGCCCGTCGTCCACGGCGTTAGCCCCCCCCTAAAAATTTTCTGGCCGTCTCTCCTACCCGTGGACCAGGTCTCCATGTCCCTCGCCAGCCTTTCGCCCTTCTGCCACAATGTCAAGCCCTTCTCCTCCTCACTCGGCTTGACCCAGTCGAGGAGGCGAAGGAGATCTGCTAGAGATCTCCCTGGCGATGGCTCCTGGACACACTGCTTGGTCAAATCTTGGTGGTTTCTTCTGTCACGATCGTCATACATAGAGGAGGACCAAGGCGCAGCGTTGAAGGCGAGCATATTTATTATATTAATGATCACACGATCAAAACAACAAAACGATGACGTGACAGTCAATGGTAAACACAAACCAAATACGAACAAGAAACCACAATGAATGAGTGCCAAACGGCTACCTAAGTATGACTCCCAATCAGAGACAACGAGCTACAGCCGTCTCTGATTGGGAGCCACCCTGGCCAACATAGATCTACAAAACCAGAAAGTGAAACCTAGAACCCACATAGACTATACACACCCTGGCTCAACATATTAGAGTCCCCAGAGCCAGGGCGTGACACCATTCTTGAACATGGGGTGAGACAATCTTACTAATTTGCTAGAGAACCAGTTCGGATTTAAGTATAACTTCTGTATGACTGAAGCTTTTAGTGATAGGTTTAATGCTTTAATATTTAATAATTTCTGTCCTCCGAATTCATATTCATTATATAAATAGGCCCGTTTAATTTTGTCTGGCTTGCTGTTCCAAATAAAATAGAATATTTTTTTCTCATATAATTTAAAAAACTGTTCGCTAGGCATAGGCAATACATTTTACGTAATTTAGCAGACGCTCTTATCCAGAGCGACTTACAGGAGCAATTAGGGTTAAGTGCCTTGCTCAAGGGCACATCGACAGATTTTTCCCCTAATTGGCTCGGAGATTAGAACCAGCGACCTTTCGGTTACTGGCACAATGCTCTTAACCACTAAGCTACCTGCCGCCCCAATACCATAAGCAAATAGGTAAACTGGGATAATACTAAAGAGTTAATCAGGATGATTTTTCCACAAATAGACAGGTATTTACCTTTCCATGGTAGCAAGATCTTATCTATTTTTGCTAACTTTCTATTAAAATGTATTGGAGTGAGATCATTTATTTCATTTGGGATATGTATTCCGAGTATATCCACATCACCATCAGACCATTTTATTGGTGAACTACATGGTAATGTAAAAATTGTATTTTTAGTGATCCAATACGTAATATAGTACATTTATCATAATTTGGTTAGAAAATGTATCTAGATCCTCTATGAGGCTGTGGAGGGATTCAAGTTGTGGATTTAAAAGAAAACATTAATCATCAGCGTACAATGACACCTTGGTTTTTAAGCCCTGGATTTCTAATCCCTTGATATTATTGTTGGATCTGATTTTAATAGCTAACATTTCGATGGCCATAATAAATAGATATGTCGATAGTGGACAACCTTGATTTACTCCTCTTGACAGTTTAAAACCTTCGGAGAAATAGCCATTATTTACTATTTTACATGATTTTAACCCATTTTATAAGAGATGTTCCAAAATTGAAATGCTCCAGGCATTTATATATAAACTCCAGTCGTACTTTATCAAATGCCTTTTCAAAGTCTTCTATGAATAGCCTGCTATGAATAGCAGGCCTGGTTTCCCAGATTTTTCATAGTGTTCTATTGTTTCCAGTATTTGAATTATATTATCTCCAATGTATTGTCCATGTAAAAAAACCTGACTGATTAGAATGAATAATGTCTGACAATACCTTTTTAATTCTATGCGCTATACATTTTGCTCGAATTTTTTTAAGGGGCCTCCACTTTTTTAAATGGACTGGATCTTTATCTTTCCCACTTGTATCCTGTTTCAGTAATAATGAAATCAGACATTCTTCTTGAGAGTCTGATAATCTACCATTTACATAGGAGTGGTTAAAACATGCTAATAACGGTCCTTTGAGTATATCAAAAAAGGTTTGGTATACCTCGACTGGTATGCCATTCAACCCTGGAGTTTTTCGGACTTAAAGTCTTTAATTGCATCCAGAAGTTCCTCCTCTGTAATTTCACCTTCACATGAGTCTTTCTGTATGGCTGTTAATTTTACATTATCAATAGAAAAAAAACAATAGATATTATATTCCTTCTCTTTGAGCCATGTAAATATTTTTCTTCTTTTGTTATTATCTGCTAAGCCATTACAATTATAACTGGCTATACTTATTTCACCACTTACCATAATGAGATAGAAGTTTCAAATCTATTTATCATAATATATGTTTGTACATTTATCAATAACAAAATACCTTAGTGATTGAGTGTCCATATACAGTTGAAGTCGGACGTTTACATACAGTGGGGAGAACAAGTATTTGATACACTGCCGATTTTGCAGGTTTTCCTACTTACAAAGCATGTAGAGGTCTGTAATTTCTATCATAGGTGCACTTCAACTGTGAGAGACGGAATCTAAAACAAAAATCCAGAAAATCACATTGTATGATTTTTAAGTAATTCATTTGTATTTTATTGCATGACATAAGTATTTGATCACCTACCAACCAGTAAGAATTCTGGCTCTCACAGACCTGTTAGTTTTTCTTTAAGAAGCCCTCCTGTTCTCCACTCATTACCTGTATTAACTGCACCTGTTTGAACTCGTTACCTGTATAAAAGACACCTGTCCACACACTCAATCAAACAGACTCCAACCTCTCCACAATGGCCAAGACCAGAGAGCTGTGTAAGGACATCAGGGATAAAATTGTAGACCTGCACAAGGCTGGGATGGGCTACAGGAAAATAGGCAAGCAGCTTGGTGAGAAGGCAACAACTGTTGGCGCAATTATTAGAAAATGGAAGTTCAAGATGACGGTCAATCACCCTCGGTCTGGGGCTCCATGCAAGATCTCACCTCGTGGGGCATCAATGATCATGAGGAAGGTGAGGGATCAGCCCAGAACTACACGGCAGGACCTGGTCAATGACCTGAAGAGAGCTGGGACCACAGTCTCAAAGAAAACCATTAGTAACACACTACGCCGTCATCGATTAAAATCCTGCAGCGCACGCAAGGTCCCCCTGCTCAAGCCAGCGCATGTCCAGGCCCGTCTGAAGTTTGCCAATGACCATCTGGATGATCCAGAGGAGGAATGGGAGAAGGTCATGTGGTCTGATGAGACAAAAATAGAGCTTTTTGGTCTAAACTCCACTCGCTGTGTTTGGAGGAAGAAGTAGGATGAGTACAACCCCAAGAACACCATCCCAACCGTGAAGCATGGAGGTGGAAACATCATTCTTTGGGGATGTTTTTCTGCAAAGGGGACAGGACGACTGCACCGTATTGAGGGGAGGATGGATGGGGCCATGTATCGTGAGATCTTGGCCAACAACCTCCTTCCCTCAGTAAGAGCATTGAAGATGGGTCGTGGCTGGGTCTTCCAGCATGACAACGACCCGAAACACACAGCCAGGGCAACTAAGGAGTGGCTCCGTAAGAAGCATCTCAAGATCCTGGAGTGGCCTAGCCAGTCTCCAGACCTGAACCCAATAGAACATCTTTGGAGGGAGCTGAAAGTCCGTATTGCCCAGCGACAGCCCCGAAACCTGAAGGATCTGGAGAAGGTCTGGATGGAGGAGTGGGCCAAAATCCCTGCTGCAGTGTCTGCAAACCTAGTCAAGACCTACAGGAAACTTATGATCTCTGTAATTGCAAACAAAGGTTTCTGTACCAAATATTAAGTTCTGCTTTTCTGATGTATCAAATACTTATGTCATGCAATAAAATGCAAATTAATTACTTAAAAATCATACAAAGTGTACCTATGATAAAAATTACAGACCTCTACATGCTTTGTAAGTAGGAAAACCTGCAAAATCGGCAGTGTATCAAATACTTGTTCTCCCCACTGTACACCTTAGCCAAATACTTCTAAACTCAGTTTTTCACAATTTATGACATTTAATCCTAGCAAAACTTCCCTGTCTTTGGTCAGTTATGATCACCACTTTATTTTAAGAATGTGAAATGTCAGAATAATAGTAGAGAGAATGATTTATTTCAGCTTTTATTTATTTCATCACATTCCCAGTGAGTCAGAAGTTTACGTACACTCAATTAGTATTTGTTAGCATTGCCTTTAAATTGTTTAACTTGGGTCAAACGTTTCGGGTAGCCTTCCACAAGGTTCCCACAATAAGTTGGGTGAATTTTGACCCATTCCTCCTGACAGAGATGGTGTAATTGAGTCAAGTTTGTAGGCCTCCTTGCTTGCACACACTTTTTCAGTTCTGCCCACAAATGTTCTATAGGATTGAGGTGAGGGCTTTGTGATGGCCACTCCAATACCTTGACTTTGTTGTCCGTAAGCCATTTTGCCACAACTTTGGAAGTATGCTTGGGGTCATTGTCCATTTGGAAGACCCATTTGCGACCAAGCTTTAACTTCCTGACTGATGTCTTGAGATGTTGCTTCAATATATCCACATAATTTTCCTTCCTCATGATGCCATCTATTTTGTGAAGTGCACCAGTCCCTCCTGTTCTTCACGGTCGGGATGGTGTTCTTCGGCTTGCAAGGCAACCCCTTTTTCCTCCAAACATAACGATGGTCATTATGGCCAAACAGTTCTATTTTTGTTTCATCAGACCAGAGGACATTTCTCCAAAAAGTACGATCTTTGTCCCCATGTGCAGTTGCAAACCGTAGTCTGGCTTTTTTATGGCGGTTTTGGAGCAGTGGCTTCTTCCTTGCTGAGCAGCCTTTCAGGTTATGTCGATATAGGACTCGTTTTACTGTGGATATAGATACTTTTGTACCTGTTTCCTCCAGCATCTTCACAAGGTCCTTTGCTGTTGTTCTGGGATCGATTTGCACTTTTCGCACCAAAGTACGTTCATCTCTAAGAGACAGAACGCGTCTCCTTCCTGAGCGGTATGACGGCTGCGTGGTCCCAAGGTGTTTATACTTGCGTACTATTGTTTGTACAGATGAACGTGGTACCTTCAGGCGTTTGGAAATTGCTCCCAAGGATGAACCAGACTTGTGGAGGTCTACAATTTTTTTTCTGAGGTCTTGGCTGATTTCTTTTCATTTTCCCATGATGTCAAGCAAAGAGGCACTGAGTTTGAAGGTAGGCCTTGAAATACATCCACAGGTACACCTCCAATTTGACTCAAATGATGTAAAATAGCCTATCAGAAGCTTCTAAAGCATGACATCATTTTCTGGAATTTTCCAAGCTGTTTAAAGGCACAGTCAACTTAGTGTATGTAAACTTCTGACCCACTGGAATTGTGATTCAGTGAATTATAAGTGAAATAATCTGTCTGTAAACAATTGTTGGAAAAATTACTTGTGTCATGCACGAAGTAGATGTCCAAACCGACTTGCCAAAACTATAGTTTGTTAACAAGAAATGTGTGGAGTGGTTGAAAAACGAGTTTTAATGACTCCAACCTATGTGTATGTAAACTTCCGAGTTCAACTGTAGCTGTACCATGATATTTGCATTGCTACTAAGTAACCCTCCAATTGTTCTCCACTATTCCCCCCGCTAAAGCCCCTCCCCATCCCAAGTTGGGTTGTCATCCCAGTAATCGGCATACCACCCCCGTCCCCCCGGATCCTTAAACGCCCCAAGAGGCCAGTACCCATCCTTCGAAAACAGCACACAGTGCCACCCACAAAACAGAAGCAGGTCAACCGCCAAAAGCATTTCCAATGCTCTCACCTCAATATATATCTATTGAAATATCTTGCATATCTTAATTTCCATCATTAACAATTAATATGCGTAATAATGTCGGCAGTTCATGTGAAAGATTGTTACCTATAACCCGGATTGCCATTGTGTGGTTCTATATGGTTCTAAGTGGTTTTGTATGGAACTGTGTGTTTATATGTACTTTTGTGTGGCCCTGTGTGGTTATACAGTATGTTGTTCTGTGCGGTTCTGTGTGGTTCTAAGTGGTTCTTTGTGGTTTTGTATGGTCCTGGGTGGTTATGTGGTCCTGTGTGGTTGTCTATGGTTCTGATAGTCTCCCTCTCTTTCTTTCTCTCATCCAGGCACTGCTCTGGTTGTCCAGTGGGACCATGTCCACCTGCAGGACAGCTACAACCTGGGCAGCTTCACCTTCCAGGCCACACTGCACAGCGACGGCAGGATCGTCTTCGCCTACAAAGAGGTCAGTCTCTCTCTCTCTCTTTTTCTCTTTATCTACGTATACCTCACTCTCTCTCTCACTCTCTCTCTCTCTCTCTCTCTCCTCTCTCTCTCCTCTCTCTCTCTCTCTTTCTCTTTATCTACGTATACCATCACACTCTCTCTCTCTCCACTCACTCTCTCTCTCTCTCTCTCTCTCCCCTCTCTCTCTCTCTCTCTCTCTCTCTCTGTTGCTCCCTATCTAGGCTATATCTCCCTCACCTCCCCTCTCCCTCTTTCTCTCTCTTTCTCTATTTCTGCTGCTCTCACTCCCTCTGTCACGGTCTCTCTTTATTTATCTTGCTGCTCCTCCCTCCAGCTATCTCCCATAGACGGTGGATTGTTTAGCAACAAAACCGATTTGTGCGCAACCCTTGAGGAAAACAGACGGGATTAGTTTAGAATCAAAGGATTGTTGACAACATGCACACATTGTTTCCTCTCCAAATGTTAATTGAGAACATAAATACATTTGCACAATGAGTACTTGTTGTCTCTCAAATATATTGTTACAGTTGTCGGCAGCTAGATAGCGATAATTAGCAAAACAAGACATGGTATTGTCACGTCTACTCCCGCTCCTCCTCTCTGGCGCTTGTTGTCGCCAGTTCACTCACCATTACGCACACCTGCCACCATCGTTACGCGCACCTGTGCTTCATGAGATTCACCTGGACTCCATCACCTTCCTGATTACCTCCCCTATACATGTCACTCCCTTTGGTTCCTTCCCTAGGCGTTATTGACTCTCTTTTTGTGTTTCATGTCTGTTCGCTACTCGTGTTTCTTGTTTTGTTCCATGTTTCATTTATTATTAAATTCACTCCCTGGACTTGCTTCCCGACTCCCAGCGTACAAGTGTCAAGAACAAGATAAAACTAGCTGAAACGAGCCACCTACGATTTCCCACATGGCATCTTCTTGTCATTGTTGCTAGCTATCTGAACGTTCAGAATCATAACAACACACGGCCTCTGCAATGCGCACGCGTCATTTTCGTGACGTTGTCAGCTAACCCAGCTATAGGGGTGTAGGAGTGACATTGTGTCACACCCAGCTGGTGTTTCTCTGTTTCTGTTTCTCGCTCTATGTTTCTCTCTCTCGCTCTCTCATTCCTCACCCTCTCTTCCTTGTTGTGACAGAGCACTTATTTCATTCTCTCTCTCCTTGATTGTGTTGATAAATAAAGCTCTGTGCTCTCCAACCTCTGTTTTCAATCAGGGCACGATGCAACATATCTCTCTCTCCCTCTCTTTCTCTCTCTCTTTCTCTCCATTCCAATCAGGGAGTACTTTTCTCTAACTCCACTCACCTCATCCACCTTCATGTAAAGACGTAAAGTTCACTGCAGCGTTTACGTCACTTTTACTTTAACCACACAATAAAAGTGTGTATCTCCAAGGATCTCTACATTCTCAAGTTTGAGCCCGCCAGACTTGTTTTGCAGAATTATTAATTTGCACCTTCATTTTGATGGATTTCCTGGGAGATGAGTCGATTGTAAGCTCTTTGTTCTTGCCAGTAAATGAAGTCCCATTGTCTGTAGGCTGCGCCACAAATGGCACCCTATTCCCTATATAGTGCAGGCCCTGGTCAAAATTGGTGCACTATAAAGGGAATAGGGTGTCATTTGGGACACATTTACCCCAGCCTTCCATCAGCATCAGAAACTGTTAGGCCTCTGCCTGGTTTGGTCTGTTTGGGTCCAATTTCCAGCCAGCTGTTAGATAGACAGGTGTGGTGGCTGGTGATTGATGCCCCTCCACTATTCTCTCCTCTCTCTTCCAGATCCCCATCGAGGTGGCCCAGATCAGCTCCGTCAATCACCCGGTGAAGGTGGGCCTCTCCGATGCCTTTGTGGTGGTCCACAGGATCCAGCAGATTCCCAGTGAGTCACGATGATGCAGAGATTGCTGCGTCACTGCACGCACACACATGACTCCCTGCGTTGCTACACACACATAAACCATCATAAACCACATCGCACACCCACACGCATGCACGCACACCTCACACCTTTTACCACTCACACATCACATACACACATACCACCTCACACCTTTTACTTTACACACACCATCAAACATCACTTAAGTTTTTTACTGTATACACTATCACATACCACCTCATACTGCAGGACACCAAAGGATGGGCAGTGGAAACATACAGTAAGCCAGTCACATGACCAGTACACGTTTTTTTTCTCTCTCAAAGCTCCTCCCTTGTGGGCTGCATTCGTCATTTTTAAGGAATTATTATTTTGGGTTAAAATAAACACTCCAGGACACCCACACTGGAACATCTCAAGCTAGATAGAAAGTATGTAGAAATGATAATGGACCTATACTGTATATATTAAAATAACTGTTCCTTTTTCCGGGCCGCAAATTGATTTTGATGAACAAATCAGTAAAAAAAAAATCTATGCAGCCTTTTGTTGAATTCAAAATCTCAGAATTCACCCCTGCCCTATATGCTGATCTTGGTTCAGTTTTGCATTTTTCCCACTGGGGGAAGGGAAGTTGATCCAAGATCTGAACATCACCCCAAAGCGGCTTTAGTTCAACCTTTTGCTGTGGCCTCTCAAACAGCAGAATGGGTATGAGTATATGGGCATGGTCCAGAATTATATGGGCATGGTCTCTTTGCATGACGTCCCAATTTAGGCCCATTAAAGTTAAAAGAAAGTTGAGCAAAGAGGAGAAAGTCAGCCTTTTCATCCGCTGCTAGACACTGGGGCTTTCATTTCATTTTGAAGTCTGCGAAAATCATTATTTTAATTGCTTGTTGAGGATATATTCATAGGACTTGGCGTTTGAAGAAGGTACAGTATTTGTTTCACTTAGCGTTTTATAGCTAGTTGTTTATAAAATTACGACTTCGTCTGGAATTATTAAATCATGGGTAATAAGTAACTCTACTCAGAAAACTTTACAGACTCTGACTGTGTCCCAAATGGCACCCCATTGCATATATAGTGCACTACTTTTTTTACCAAAGCCCTATGGGCACTACATTGGGAATTGGGGGCCATTTGGAACATAGCCTCTGTGGTCAGTAATAAAGGGTTTAGGTGTTATAATGGGGAATTCAAATCTGCTGCTCAGCTGTTTTGTGAGTGTTGAGCTTCTGTGGTTGTTGATTCTTTCTACTTCTCTGAAAACTGTGGGTTCAGGGGTGCTCTTGTTACAGTAGCTACAGTAGCTCTCCCATAACACTCTTGTTGATATTATAAATAATAATAATATGCCATTTAGCAGACACTTTTATCCAAAGCGACTTACAGTCACGCGTGCATAAATTTTTATGTGTATGGGTGGTCCCGGGGATCGAACCCACTACCTTGGCGTTACAAGCGCCGTGCTCTACCAGCTGGCTCTACCAGCTAGCCCTCAAACTCAACTCTGGACCTCGAAGCCAGTTCCACTGTGTTTTTTCATTGTTCCCCTATTTATCAGGTAGAACAGAAAAACAGCAGGCTCCGGACCTCGTAGGGTAAGAGTTGAAAACCCCTGCTATAGAGGGTTCTCAGGCTTCCAAAGGACTTGTGCTAAACACTACCCTCTTTGATGTAGCCTTTCTAACGTTGAGCTCAGCTGGATGAAAACAGACTCCTCGGCAGCATCCCAAATGGCACCCTATTCCCTATGGGACCTGGTCAAAAGTATTGCACTATATAAGGAATAGGGTGACATTTGGGATGCGGGGTGGGGGGGGCTGAGGAGTATATATCTCCGCTCTGCTGAGGAGTATTTTTTTCCGCCCATACAGGAGTAATGAAGGCCTAGTTCACACATTTTGTGGGATTTTTCATTCTTTCTTTCTTTTAATTATTATTATATAATTATTTTTTTAATCAGGGGGTGCTCCAGCACCCTCAGCACCCATACTTCCCGTGGCTATGACACCAGGAGGTGCTGATTTTGCAGGTACCAGATTACATTTGGACCTGGCGAAATGTGGAAGCTATACCGTCCACTAGGGGCAACGTGAGCACCTATTACCGTATAGTAGGCTCACTAAGGCATTGTGGATGGTGAATGGGCATTTAAGCTGCAGACGCCGGCTCCAAGGGTCGCGTGTTCAATCCCAGTGCTAGGCATGCATTTTTAGTTTTTTTTGTTTTAAGCCTTTCCTTAACCTTAACCCTTAACTTACCCACTCAGAATTAATGCCTAAACTTAAGTTTAACCCTATCCCTAACTTTAACCCTAAAGTTTAGAATTAATGCCTAAACGTAAGTTTTAGTTGAACTTTTTTTGACTGACAACGAAGATACGGCACCACATGGCATAATTCTGTGACAGCTAAGATACGGCACCACGTGGTGTAATTGAAACTTCAAGCCATGGCGTAATTCTGTTGCTGCAGTTAAGCCACAGGTTGCCATTTTATTTGGAGATTCGGATGCAAAGTTCTGTTTGTTGTAGCCTGAAAGAAAATGCTGAGCCAGCTTCCTCGCAAACTTTTACCGAGCTCACTTCTTTATTTATTTTGTTTTAAGGGACATACAATACAGCCCAAACAGTAGTACTGTACTCCCTCTGAAGTAAACTATTGGTTTAGGATCTGAGAAGCCTGTCCTTTGGAAGTGTAATATCATGATAATTATATACTGTATTATAATAAAAACATACTAGTTAATGAGAAGATGAAGGACCAGAAAATGTCCTGGAAAACATACATTTGATAATATATTTCATATACCTAGTGAATGGTGGCGAATGTGATATGTCTAGAGAGGAGAGGGAAAGGCAGGTTGGTGGGTGAGCATGGAGAAGGTAATATTTGGGCAGAGGGCAGACACCCGTGTCTGTCTGTCTGTCTGGAGAGAAAGGTCAGGATTAGCATCTTGGGTCTTCTGTCGGTCAAAAGGGAAGGACAATCTCTCTCTCTCTCTCTCTCTCTTAATGTGGCTCAGCCGCTGCTGTTTAGTAGGCAACGCATGTAGCCAATGCACCCAATTCAGGATATACAGTAGCAATGTTAGCTACAGGTTTGTTAACATGTTATGCTGTGCAGTGCTCTGCACATCTTGACTGGCTGCATTACCGCTTGGTATGGCAACTGCTCGGCATCCGACCGCAAGGCGAGACAGAGGGTAGTGCGTACGGCCCAGTACATCACTGGGGCCGAGCTCCCTTTCATCTAGGACCTCAATTACCTCGTACCCCTGCACATCGCCTCGGTACTGGTACCCATTGTATATATCCAAGTTATCATTAATCCTTGTGTAGCTAATATTACTTTTATTTTTACGTGTTTTACTTTTCTATTATTTCTCTATTTTCTTTCTCTCTGCATTGTTGGGAAGGGCCCGTAAGTATTTCACTTTTAGTCCACACCTGTTGCTTGTGATGAATAAAATGTGATTTGATTCATATGGATATGAGACATCAGTAAAAGCCCTAACAATCTTGAAAAAACACACACACACCCTGGTCTGGTCCCCTGGACAGCAGGTAGAATGGATCCTTCTGCCGTATTGATTGCACTGGCCCAGGGTTCCTCCCAGCTCTGAAACTCACTGTGTCAGATGGCTGGACTACTTTGATCTGATTTCCTGCTGTGTAATCCCAATCCCTACAGCTGCATGGAACTAATTTTTCATTCTCCTGGAAGAAAATAATGTATTTTGAAATGTAGATCAACCTTTTAAGGACCGGTTGTTCTTTTAGACACTTTTGCTGATACTTGTAGTGTTAGCGACTGTACATGAAAATGGTATTTGAAGTTATCTCTCGTATTCTAATATGGTTATGTATTTAGACTAGAGTGATTGGGACCAGTATGAAAAAAATGTATGCACTCACTAACTGTAAGTCGCTCTGGATAAGAGCGTCTGCTAAATGACTAAAATGTAAAATGTAAAATTGCTTAGTGGCTTTAAGCTCCAAGCATCAGAGCGTAGCATAGGTTGCGTACCAATTCCTTTATGTAGTGCACTACTTGAATGGGCTGTGGTCAAAAGTAGTGCACTTTATAGGGTATAGGGTGCCATTTGGGAAGAGACCAGGCAGCTGAAGGGCTGAGTGTTCAGTATACAGGAGGGAACTCATGTCGAGTCAATAAGTGTTTCTGTTGCCAATTACCAGCCTGAGCACACACAGCTAGCACAGCCGGAGAGGCTTCCTCTAACCCACTCCTTTAGCCACGTTCACGCTCAAGTTGTGAAATGAAACATTTTACTCTGCTAGCTAGCTATTTCCAGGCCATGGCGTTTGGGCCTGGCCTGTGCTGCGCTGGCAGCAGCAGGGGGAGGATTTGCCGGCATCCTGTGGACAGGCGAGATAATTACCAGGTCAGGTGCTAGAGGCCTGGAGACCCGCTGGTCTTCCTGTGTTAAAAGCTTTAAACCCAGGCTTTTATTTAGCCACCTCCGGGCTGGGCAGCCAGACACACGGACAGCCAGACTCCCAGTCACCCTCATGCATTATTCTGGTGAGGTTATCAAAACCAGAAGCGCCTCGGTCCTTTTAATACCTGTCTGAGTTTATTCTTATGCTAATTCACCGCGGTAGCTGTACTACAATAGCAGGCCCAGGATTAGCTCACCTCATTATTATACAGGCAGAGGAGGAGGTCAGCTTGACATCCTTGTGTGTATTCATCATATCCATTCATATTGTGATATTGCATAATTTCCATGTCCAATAAACAGGCTATTTTGGGGTGATTGCAACGATTTTCGGGGAGGGGATAATGGAAGTAATTTGCTCAAGGCAAGTGAGCTTGCCGTGTGGCGGTAAGGATTCTGAAACTAATGAGTTGGTGATATGAAAGCCACATGATTGTTATCTTGATGGCAGGAAATACACTGGCATGGAATTATAGCTTTTATACCCCATTGGGAATAGCAATAAGGAGATAACCTCACAGTCAGGGTCCTATGTGATATTCTGTTCTACCCAGTCATTTGTATTATTATTATCACAGTCCTGTTGGAACAGTGTGAGTATTGAAAATCTGCCCGCGTATCTATCCTATTTATCCTCCCAGCAGAGTTGGACTCATTTTACACTTACATTTTAGTCATTTAGCAGACGCTCTTATCCAGAGCGACTTACAGTGCCTGTGGCACAGGTACTGTACACAGGCTACTGGCAAATTAAGCCCTATTCAGAATTTAGATTCCCTTATTCCTTCATTGACTTTGAACTCATTGCACAAGGTCTCCACATCACATTTCCTTTGATTCTCATCCAACCTTCAGGGGTGAATGAATAAGAAATATTTTCCTTGGCTGGTATTCTTAGATGTGTACCAGACCAGACCAGTAGCCTATTTTCCATTGTATTTTCTATCTGGTGAGATATTGATTGGGCCAGTGCATAATTTTGCACGAGTGTGCTTTTAATTAGATTATGGCCTAATTGACCCTTGTGTGCATAATTGATGACACACTTCTACAAAGCTCCTTTTGTTTGATGGTATTGGAGCAGGGCAGCTAAATCCTCATTACCACTTTTGATGCTCAGGCTGAGACTGTAATTGCTGTGAGTTAAATCTTCCTACCTCCCAGACCCGCTCCGGGGTGTAGTTTCCCATAGGTGCAGATCTAGGATCAGCTTCCCCTCCCTAATCCTAACCTTCACTAGTAGAGGGAAAATGCAAAACTGACCCAAGATCCAACTAGCTCTCACAGTCTCGTCAGAATTAGACATTCATCCATGTTTCTCAAACGTCAAATTTAAAAGTTGTTGTAAACGTAACATTTTAAAATGTTTAAGGTTAAGTTTAGGCATGAACTCCGAATGGTCAAGGTAAGGGTTAAGTTTTGGGATAGGCTTAAAACGAAAACCTCAAAAACAACATTCCATTGCTGGAATTGAACTTGCAACCTTTGGAATCAGAGGCAGATGCTTACGCCCTAGCAAAACTGAAACCTACTTGAAGGTAACAGCGCTCACTGTTGTCACTAGTGGCCGGTTTCCACGTCATCTCCCAACGTCCTCAGACATGGATGGATGTCGAATACTCACTTGTATCACAGGTGACCTGGCTGCCAAGATCAGTGTCTGAGAGCAACTTCACCCTACACCCCCAGACTCATCCACCTCCTGAGGAAACCCGAGCCAGGCGACCGAGTCTGGCTAGTCTGCCCACAGAGCAGCACCCCTAGGCAGGCAGCGAGAGAGAGACCTCCCCCCTCCTCTGGCCCCTCAATGCTATCATTGGACTTGATCATCTTACTGCCTGGGGCTAGAGGAAGCCAGCCATAGGGGAGGGCAGAAGGTGGGTGGGATGTGTTTCAGGGTCAAGTCAGCTGATACTGTACAGCTGCATCGCAATGATAGCTGTGCCACTAGAGATCCTGGTTCGAATCCAGGCTCTGTCGTAGCCGGCCGCGACTGGGAGACCCATGGGGTGGCGCACAATTGGCCCAGCGTCGTCCAGGGTAGGAGAGGGAATGGCCGGCAGGGATGTAGCTCAGTTGGTAGAGCATGGCGTTTGCAACGCCAGGGTTGTGGGTTTGTGGGTTTGATTCCCACGGGGGGCCAGTAAAAAATAAATAATAATAATAATAATAATGTATGCACTCACTAAACTGTAAGTCGCTCTGGATAAGAGTCTCAAGTGGCACCCTATTCTCAATATAATGCAATGCTTTTGACCAGAGCCTTATGGGCAGTGATGTAGTGGTAAAACAAATAGGTGGGTAAACGCTGATCACCATTAGCGGTGAGTAAAGTAACGTTCCCTATACTTTCAATGCATTTTTCTGCAAATAGGTGGGTAAACGCTTGTGCAAAATAAAAAAGCACATAAATGCATAAATAGCGTTTACGTGCATTTACTCTCCACTACTCCACTGCTTATGGGCCCCAAAAGTAGTGCACTATAAGGGAATAGGGTGCTATTTGGGATGCACACATAGTGTTTCCAGTGTGTAAGAAAAAGCTCTCCCCTGATCTTTCAGGTATCTGTTAGTGACAAGAGATCTCTCTTGGATTTAGTGGTTTTAGTATCTCAGGGGCAGACTGGTCATCTGGCATTTCAGGCAAATGCCAGATGGGTTGTACCATTCTTAGCCCAGTGGGCCTGTCTGACTTTTTTTCCCCGCAAAATGATCATTATCAGGTAGTGGTGAGCGATTGGTGCTTTTTGAGGTTGGTTCAGTTTCGGTTTGATTATTAAAATATTACATCACGTTTTCGGTAAAAATAAATAAAACATTAAATGTGAGTTGAATGCTGTAACAACGCAGAATAAAACAATGAATAAACGTCCCATTATGGTAGTGACTGTCCATTGCTGCTTATCACATATTAACCATCATTTATTTACATTACTTTACTTTAATAAAATATTTGTTTTATTTGATTACTTTATTATTTCATTCCAAGTCATAATCTCGTCTCAATAGAGCTGCTGCCTATGCTGTCTGCAAAATCACAATTTTAGTAGTTCTTCAAAGCAAATAAGGCATACTTTTATGACTGCTGAATACCAACTATCAATCACTTAGATCATGTATTTTCAGGTAGAGATACGTCGCAAGCAACTGCTCTCTATCCCTCTTGCACATTCTCTCTTCTCTCGGTCTCCATCAATGAGGTCTCCATGTCTGCTCTACACAGACCGGACAAGTAAGCAGGCGCGCAATTGATTATGGTCATTGTAGTTAATTACCACATTTACGGCGCTAAACTATGTAGAATATTGGCCTGTTGGAAACTATAACTCCCTACTACATCGCACAATTTGGGCTTGATCTGATTTATCTCTACAGAAACTGAGCATTGAACTCACAGAAAAACCCAGAATGAAATGCAATTCAAATAATTGAATTGAAATAGTTGTTTAAAAAACGAAAAGTAACAGACATTTTGGTTAATCGCTCAGCACTATTATCAGGCTAATAATGGGGGCCTCATGGAACAACTGAGCTGGTGTGGGGGCCTCGAGATTTTTTTTTTTGAAATGCCAGGGATGATTTCTGGTCCCAGTCTGCCCCTGCTGTATCTGGATCCACAGAAGCACACAACAGGATAAATGGCTTTGTTCTAAGATCAAAACTCATCCAAGCAGTATGAGTGTATACAATAAGTGTTTATGATGAATGGGGCTCGCTAGCAGTCAAACTCATTGCTGTATATGTTCCACAGCCATGGCACTGTTTATTGAATTTCAATTTTCTAGCTCGTTGCTCAAGCAAATGCGTGTATTATAGAAAATGTAATGTGTCGAACAATGTCATATGGGCTACATTAAATAATTATTCTCACTGGTGTACATAAACGTCCCATTGTATTCCAGGAATTTCAGTCACATTAACTTGAATTAAGGATTTAACCACACCAGGAAAATCACTAGAATTAAGGAATTAACTACTGTAGCAATCTTTTACATTTATGAGATTACAATGGCAGAGCTATGCCTTTTAATTTGAATTTAATTAGGATTTACAGTATAATATATAATATTATAATCCTTTCTCTCTGTGCATAGTTTAGTGCAGTGCCGGGGGGAGATGCATGGACTGCAAAACCAAGTGGGCCGTTTTACACTAAGATTGAAAAAGCATCTTAGGGAGGGCGTTATATGGTCCAGGGAGGGACTACTGAGAGTTAATGATGGATCAAATCAAACTCTCCATCTTACCTAGCGTGGTCCTGGTGACTGCTGCAGCAGATTATCTTGGTCACTGCGTCCCAAATGACACCCTATTCCTTGCATAGTGCACTACGTTTGACCCTATGGGCCCTGGTCAAACGTAGTGCACTATATAGGGAATATGGTTTGGGACGTTGCCTGGAAGAACTGGGGGCTTTCAACAGGGACTCTGATATCACCTCTAATGGGACATTGCTGCCCACCCCTTTGCCAAGTGGCAGGCTTTCTGTTAGAGAGAGAGTGAGAGAGATAAAACTAAAGAAATGCTCTTCTCTCTTCCCTTATGGCCTGATTCTGCCTCTCTGTTCTCTCTCGCTCTCTTCTTCGGGAACCACTTGTCCTAGTTTCAGCTCTCAGAGGAAGATTTGTGACCTTTTTTCTTTCTCTCTCTCTTTCCTTCCTTCCCTCCCTCTCTTTACCTTTCTCTCTCGCTTACTCCATCCAGATGTTCGTAGGAGAACGATCTATGAGTACCATCGTGTGGAGCTTACGAAGACCAAAATCACCAACTCCACGGCAGTGGAGATGATGCCTCTACCGAGTAAGATGGATTCCTTTGATAGACTTGGTTCATGATATGATATATGATAATGACAACACAAGTAGGCCCCCATGAACTAGTCTAGGTTCTAGATAAAGTCATAGGTGAAACAGAGCTAGAGCTAATAGATGTCAGACTGTATCCCATAATTTCAGGGACACCTGTGAGTCAAAACTCCTATCTTTTAGAAACATCTGTTTTGCATTTAGCAAACTACAACATTCTAGCTATCCACATATGGATTTCTATGTTGGTGTTTTGACACTGGGCATGAATGTATCAAGCGTCTCAGAGTTGGTGTGCTAATTTACGATCAGTTTAGCCTTCTATTCTGAAATGCTTAATACATTGTTTTGCATGATCAACTACAACAATCTAGCAATCTACATATAGATTTCTACATTGAGTTTTGACTGAGTCAGTAGACGTGTGTGTTGTGACGTGTGTGTATTGTAATGTGTGTGTTGTGATGTGTGTGTTATGACGTGTGTGTTGTAGTGTGTGTGTTGTAACGTTTGTGTGTAAATTGTAACATGTGTGTTGTGACGTGTGTGTGTGTGTGTTGTAACGTGTGTATCCTGTTCCCTCCACAGCATGTCTCCAGTTCACCAGCTGTAGCAGCTGCATCTCCTCCCAGATCAACTTCAACTGCAGCTGGTGCCACCGCCTTCGCAGGTCAGACACCCCTCTATACCCCTTATGTCTTTGTCTACATCCCAAATGGTACCCTACTACCAATATGCTCTGGTCAAAAGTAGTGCACTATATAGCAAATAGGGAGCCATTTGGGACACAGACCATCTTTTTATCTTTTTCATCCAACACTCTACCTTTCTGTTTATTCTCCCCTCCATTTCCATCGCTCGCTCAGTCCCTCTATCCTTCTTCTCCCTCCTTTAACTGTTGCTATTAGTTCCAGTCACTCAGTAACTATGATATGTTAGCTAGCTATTGAGTGTGAGGTGTATGTATTGACATGTGGCTATCATATGGAGTCTGATTCTTCCCTATTCCCACTGCTCAGTGTTTGTGTGCCAAATGGCACCCTATTCCCTGTATAGTGCACTCCTTTTAACAGCGCCCTGGACGCTTGTCAAAAGTTGTGCCCTATATAAATAGGGAATAAGTGCAATTTGGGAGGGAGCCAGTGAGTTCTGGTGATGCTCAGTTGTTTTTCCTTCTTGATGGCGTGCAAAGGAAAGGCAGGGAAGGAATGAACAACAGAGGGAGAGAAAAGCATGAGATTCGACCCATTACTCATGAAATCGAGACAGCCGCTCTCTCACACCTACTCTCTCTCTCTCCTTTCTCTCCCCCTTCCCCTTGACCATTTGTCTTTCTATCTTTCACACCCTCGCACAAAAAGGTAAATATTTGGGACAGTGTAGAATGTTATTGGACAGATGGGATATTACCTGCCTGTTGTAAGATGTGAATGATGGAGGTTTGGACAGAGTTGTTGGAGTGTTGTTGGAGCATTGTTTTAGCGTTGGATCGCAGCGTTTGGGTTCAGAAGACAGGGAAGCATAAATTAATTATAAAGCCGAGAATGTGTTCCAGGCATGTTGTTATCCATTAGAGGTTTGTAAAAGTCCAAGTTACAAGCCATTAGTTATCAAGTGCACTGAAAGGTTTCGGCCCTCAGTTCTTGGAAAATGTCTGTTGGACTTAGCGGAGATGATTTGACTACTATTACTCCCCTCCTCCTATGTCTCTACACTTTGGTCGCGTCCCAAATGGCAGCCTACTATTCCCCTATGGACACTGGTAAAAAGTAGTGTACTACAGTGGCTTGCGAAAGTATTCAACCCCCTTGGCATTTTTCCTATTTTGTTGCCTTACAAGCTGGAATTAAAATGGATTTTTTCCTTGATGGCCAAAAAGCTCAATTTTACCTCATCTGACCAGAGTACCTTCTTCCATGTGTTTGGGGAGTCTCCCACACGCCTTTTGGCGAACACCAAACGTGTTTGCTTATTTGTTTCTTTAAGCAATGGCTTTTTTCTGGCCAGTCTTCCATAAAGCCCAGCTCTGTGGAGTGTACGGCTTAAAGTGGTCCTATGGACAGATACTCCAATCTCCGCTGTGGAGCTTTGCAGCTCCTTCAGGGTTATCTTTGGTCTCTTTGTTGCCTCTCTGATTAATGCCCTCCTTGCCTGGTCCGTGAGTTTTGGTGGGCGGCCCTCTCTTGGCAGGTTTGTTTGTTTCCATTTTTTCATAATGGATTTAATGGTACTCCGTGGGATGTTCAAAGTTTCTGATATTTATTTATAACCCAACCCATTATCTGTACTTCTCCACAACTTTGTCCCTGACCTGTTTGGAGAGATCCTTGGTCTTCATGGTGCCTCTTGCTTGGTGGTGCCCCTTGCTTAGTGGTGTTGCAGACTCTGGGACCTTTCAGAACAGGTGTATATATAATGAGATCATGTGACAGATCATGTGACACTTAGATTGCACACAGGTGGACTTTATTTAACTAATTATGTGACTTCTGAAGGTAATTGGTTGCACCAGATCTTATTTATGGGCTTCATAGCAAAGGGGGTGAATACATATGCACGCACCACCTTTCCGTTATTTATTTATTATAATTTTTTTAAACAAGTTATTTTTTTCACTTCACCAATTTGGACTATTTTGTGTATGTCCATTACATGAAATCCAAATAAAAATCATTTTAAATTACAGGTTGTAATGCAACAAAATAGGAAAGATGCCAAGGGGGATGAATAATTTTGCAAGGCTAAAGGAGATAGGAAGCCTTTTAGTGGCCTAAGCATCCATTATGAAACGACCCCATTGTTATTTTAGATCAATCATTTATTCAGAGAGTGACGATGCGCAATTTAGGAGATGTGCCGTACACACACCGGGGCCACTGGGACTTGTGAGGTCACTAAAGGTCAGGGTTTAGCCTTTTCCTCTCCTCTGTCTCCTCTCTCCATCCAACTAATATAATAATAATACAATCATGTGTGCATATATTTGACATATTGGTGGCTTTGGGAATCAAACCAATAATCCTGGCATTGCAAGCACAATGCTCTAACAATTTAGCCATACAGGATCACAGCTGACAATGTATCTGTATTCTGTACCCACCAGAAGAAGACTACTTCTACCCCCTGTGCATCCAACTGAACGCTCTTTATGTGCATCACATCAGCAGTTTATTAGAGCTGCGATGACAATATACGCCTGAATTATAATGATCTAATTACGCTGCGTTTTAATGAGATATAGACGTGTGCGTGCTGCATCACACTGTTAGGGCTCGCTCCGTCCTTTGTATCCTTCAACAACAAACTTCATTTGAAAAGGCGAATGAATGCACAGTTTAAACAAGCCAATTGAAATGCATTGCAGCATTGTTGGGCAGTAGGTTAATGAAAGAAAGACGCTTGTGATTTAAGAGAACGGCCGTAATGAACCCGCTCTCTCCCCCTCTCTCTCTCTCTCTCTCTCTCTCTCTCTCTCTCTCTCTCTCTCTCTCTCTCTCTCTCTCTCTCTCTCTCTCTACCTCTGTCTCTCTATCTCTCTATCTCTCTCTCTCTCTACCTCTCTCTCTACCTCTCTCCCTCTCTCTTTACCTCTCTCTCTCTACCTCTCTTTCAATTCAATTCAATTCAAAATACTTTATTGGCATGGCAAGTTAAATTACTTACATTGTCAAAGTATACATATAATAAAAATGGTGGGACCAACAGCAATAATAATAGTAGTAGTGTAAATGGGATTACCATTAGCAGCAACTACAACAACAATATTAATGAGAATAATAATACATTAAAGCAATAGTAGTAGGCCAGTCTCAACCTGACTGAGAAGCCACATGACATGGTATGAAAGCCAAAACTAAACTAAATGGGAAATATTCTTGACATTACAATGCACTTTTCACTGGCTGTCCCTCAGGTTTTGGCAGGAGGACACATATTTTGGCTTTTCACCCAATAAATATGAGATTCTTTCTTCATTTTTTATAGTTTCAAATTCTTTGTACTGAATGATAATTTTGGGAAATAAAGATTCTCTTAGGTCTGAGTATTTGTCACAGTGTAATAGGAAATGCAGCTCTGTCTCTACCTCTCCCCTGGAGCAGAGTGAGCACAGCCTGTCCTCTCTGGGCAGCCAGGTTTACCTGTGATGACCAGTCTCTATAGCCAGACTGTGCTCACTGAGTCTGTACCTAGTCAGTGTTTTCCTCAGTTTTCTATCAGTCACAGTGGTCAGATAGTCTGCCACCATGTACTGTCTGTTTAGAGCCAAATAGCATTGAAGTTTAATTTCATTTTTGGTGGTGTCTTTCCAATAGGTAATATATTTTTATTTTTGCTTTGTGATGATTTGGTTGGGCCAGATTTTCTGAGTGCTGTCCTGAGGCTCTATGGGGTTGGTTTGGGTTAATGAACTGAGCCTCAGAACCAGCTGGCTGAAGGGACTCTTCTCTTGTTTAATCTCTTGACATTGTAGAGCTGTGTGATGGAATGTTTCGGCATCACTTGATTTTAGATGGTTGTAAAATTTGATGGCTCTTTTTTTCTATTCGAATAAGGAGGGGGTATTGGCCCAATTCTGCTCTATATGCATTATTTTGAGTTTTTCTTTGCACTTGCAAAACAGTCTTGCAAAACTCTGCATGCAGTATTTCGATTGGATGTTTGTCCCATTTGGTGAATTCATTATTAGTGTGGACCCCATACTTTGCTGCCATATAGAGCAATTGGTTCTATAACTGATTGGAAAATGTTTAGCCAGATTCTAATTGGAATTTCGATTTTAATGTTCCTTTTAATGGCATAGAATGCTCTTCTTGCTTTGTCTCTCAGCTCGTTCACAGCCATGTGAAAGCTACCTGTGCTGCTGATATTTAGTCCTAGATACGTGTAGTTTTTGGTGTGTTCTAATAGAACTGTGTCCAAATATAATTTATAATTGTTTTTGGAATATCATTATATTCTGGCCTTTTAGGTTAACTGTCAGAGCCTAGGTCTGACAGAACCTGTGCAGATGATCTAGATGCTGCTGTAACCCCTCCTTAGTGGGAGACAGCAGCACCAGGTCATTTGCGTACAGCAGACACTTGATTTCAGTGTTGTGTCTGGTGAGACCAGGTGCTGCAGATTATTCTACTGTTTTTGCCAATTCATTAATGTAGATGTAAATAGTGTTGGACTTATTGAGCAGCCCTGTTTCAGTCCACGTCCCTGAGAGAAGAAGTCTGTTTGCTTGTTGCCAATTTTTTAACAGCACATTTGTTTTTTGTGTACATTGATTTAATAACATCATATGTTTTCCCTCCAATACCACTTTCTATTAGTTTATAAAAAAGACCATTGTGACAAATTGAATCAAATGCTTTATTGAAGTCTACAAAACACGAGTAGATTTCGCCTTTGTTTTGGTTTACTTGTTTGTCAATTAGAGTGTGGAGGGTGTAAATGTGGTCTGTTGTACGATAATAAAAAAGAAAAATCAAATCTGACTTCTGCTCAGGATGTTGTGTTCATCAAGGAAATGACGTAGTCTGCTGTTTGTGATACTGCAGAGAATTTTCCCCAAGTTGCTATTAACGCAAATTCCTCTAATTATTTGGGTCAAATTTGTCTCCATTTTTATAGATTGGTGTGATCAATCCTTGGTTCCAAATATCGGGGGAAATACCTGCAGTGAGGATAATGTTGAAGAGTTTGAGTATAGCCAATTTGAATTTGTGGTACCATTCATTTAAAATACCATCAGCACAACAGGCCATTTTGGGTTGGAGAGTGCATAGTTTTTCCAATAATTATTATTCTGTAATTGGGGTATCCACAGGATTATGATATGCTGTTTCAAGGATTTGTCATTTTTACTGTATATATTGTTGTTCTGGGCTCTTTGTTATATTGCTGTAGAGGTTTTCAAAGTGATTTCTCCACATATCCCCATTTTGGATAGCCAATTCCTCATGATGAGGTTTGTTTAATTTATTCAAATTATTCCAGAAGTGGTTTGATTCTATGGATTCCTCAATTACATCCAGCTGATTTCTAATGTGCTGTTCCTTTTTTGTTCTTAGGGTGTGTTTTTTTTGCGTCAGTGTTTCCCCATATTGAAGGCGTATATTTTTGTTGTCTGGTTCTCTGTGTTTTTGATTAGATATATTTCACAATTACTTTCTTAGATTTTTGCAATCATTATCAAATTATATTTTTTGGCTACTAATTGCTTTTTGGTAGATTTCTGTACTGTTTGCACTCTATCTATAGGCCTGTTTAGTACCATGTAATCTCTCTCTCTACCTCTCTCTACCTCTCTCTCCTCTACCTCTCTCTACCTCTCTCTCGCTCTCTCTTTACCTCTCTCTCTCTACCTCTCTCTCTCTACCTCTCTCTCTCTACCTCTCTACCGCTCTCTCACTCGACCTTTCTCTCTCTACCTCTCTCTACCTAACGCCCTCTCTCTCTCTGGGATGCGTAAGAACCTGCTCGTTAGGTACCTGCTCTCCCATGTGTGTCAGGCTAGATCAGCTCATTGGGTCCCTCTGAGGGATGCAAGCTGGGCGCTGGGCTGGGTTGGACAATTAAAAGCAGGTTGGAGCTAATAAAGCATACAAGGCATCCCTATGGACCAGCGACTGGCCGTGGTTGCCAATACTGCCGAGCGCTAATTTGGTGAGAAAGAGACGATCGTTTCGGGATTTGTTTACTCAAACACACAGCTGGTGTGCATCATGAATGTACTATCGAAATGACTGCCGCCACATCAAAGATCAAAGAGATCTTGCGCTTGAATAAGTTGCGGTCACTCTGTGTATTTCATTGAATCACATTGCATGTGTGTGAAGATAGAGTGAGTGTAGTGCCAAGAGTGTAATCATGGTTTCACCATTCCTAAACACTGATAAGCTTAACGTTCGCTATGTAGACCCAGTGAGCTTTAGTAACCCTCAAACCTCTCGTAGTAAATCCATATAATGTCAATAAATATGGCCCATGGGTATAAGATAGACTAAATATCTGTGAATGCACCCGCAATGTAACCGAGACCAATGAGTCTTTTAAACCCAATAAAGAAATGCATCCTCTCTGCCATGAAAGAGGGAGGTGAAAACAAGAAGACCGAACAGAAACCTACTTCCATATGTATTCATTTATATTCAAATGAGGCAGCTCAACCCATTTATAATTAGCAGTGTGGTGGCTGAGTGGACGTTGGAAGGAAGGTCTGTGATGCGTTCCAAATGGCACCCTATTCCCTATATAGTGCACTACTTTTGACCTGGGCCCATAGTGGAATAGGGTGCCATTTGGGATGTTGGATGGCATTGAGGTAAAACCTCAATGAGAAAGGATCCGGAGGGACTGGTCAGACGTGTGTTGCAGTAATATCCTTGGCCTGTCTCCGTCTCTCTCCCTCTCTCCCTCCGCTTCTCCCACGAAAACGGAAGAGAAAAGAGGTGGATTAACTGGAGGAATCTGTCTCAGCTGATTGGACAGATGAGGTGGAATCTTTCTGGCAACAATACAGTGAAATCCGGGCAGTGTGGGCTGATTAGACAGCAGAGGGAGATGGGAATGGACTCCTCTTCTTCTTCCACACGGAGAGCATTACCACATCCACCAGGGTTAATGGGAGTTATAGGACTTGATGGGAATAAGGATGGAGAATTGAGGTTAATACGGCCTGTCTGTAGTGGTGGCTAGTGGGCGGAGATATCCGAGGACGGGCTCATTGTAGCGGCTGGAATGGAATAAATGAAACGGGATCAAACACATGGAAACCATACCGTCCCATATTGCATTCCAGCCATTATAATTGTGTAGAGAAGTAGACGGGTGGATTGTTAGTGGGTCATAAAGGGGCAGGTGTTTGTGAGGTGCATGACATTGGTTTAGCGTTTGTTTACCACCTGCGAGAGAGAGAGAGAGAGAGAGAGAGAGAGAGAGAGAGAGAGAGAGAGAGAGAGAGAGACAGAGAGAGAGAGAGAGAGAGAGAGAGAGAGAGAGAGAGAGAGGAGAGAGAGTTAGAGAGATAGAGAGAGAGAGAGAGAGAGAGAGAGAGAGAGAGAGAGAGATAGATCCCTCTGTGTCAAAGCAAGAAAATGTCCCTCAAAATTAAGTGAATGTTACATTCTAATGTCAGGAAGAAAGAAAGAGAAGAGAATAAAAGACAGAGGGATAGGGAGGGGGGAGATATGAGGGTTCGCCTGGGGGTCAGTATCTTCACTCACACTCATTATGATCTGTGAACAAGAGGAAGAATGAGCAGTTGCCCTCGATCAAAGGCTAGCCCACAGTTTATGCGTCGCCTCAGGCTGGGAGGCATCACACAGGCATTACCCATTCCCCCTCATCCACTTCACCCCTCTCTCCCTCTTCCCATTCCCCCTCACCCCCTCCACCAACCACTGTACTCTGGACAGTTTGACCCAGTGAACTTCCTCTTCACAAATCCCCCCCATATTCTAATAATCATGGCCTGTTCCCCCTTTGAACTTATTTTGGACTCCCAGACTCCAGACTGAGAGAATGGGGGGGGGGGCTGAGTGGATTATTACATATTATATACATTTTTGAGGGAAAAAAGTATTTGATCCCCTGCTGATTTTGTACGTTTGCCCACTGACAAAGAAATGATCAGTCTATAATTTTAATGGTAGGTTTATTTGAACAGTGAGAGACAGAATAACAACAACAAAATTCAGAAAAACGCATTTCCAAAATGTTATAAATTGATTTGCATTTTAATGAGGGAAATAAGTATTTGACCCCTCTGCAAAACATGACTTAGTACTTGGTGGCAAAACCCTTGTTGGCAATCACAGAGGTCAGACGTTTCTTGTAGTTGGCAACCAGGTTTGCACACATCTCAGGAGGGATTTTGTCCCACTCCTCTTTGCAGATCTTCTCCAAGTCATTAAGGTTTTGAGCCTGACGTTTGGCAACTCAAACCTTCAGCTCCCTCCACAGATTTTCTATGGGATTAAGGTCTGGAGACTGGCTAGGCCACTCCAGGACCTTAATGTGCTTCTTCTTGAGCCACTCCTTTGTTGCCTTGGCCGTGTGTTTTGGGTCATTGTCATGCTGGAATACCCATCTACGACCCATTTTCAATGCCCTGGCTGAGGGAAGGGGGTTCTCACCCAAGATTTGACGGTACATGGCCCTGTCCATCGTCCCTTTGATGCGGTGAAGTTGTCCTGTCCCCTTAGCAGAAAAACACCCCCAAAGCATAATGTTTCCACCTCCATGTTTGACGGTGGGGATGGTGTTCTTGGGGTCATAGGCAGCATGCCTCCTCCTCCAAACACGGCGAGTTGAGTTGATGCCAAAGAGCTCCAGTTTGGTCTCATCTGACCACAACACTTGCACCCAGTTCTCCTCTGAATCATTCAGATGTTCATTGGCAAACTTCAGACGGGCATGTACAGTGGGGAGAACAAGTATTTGATACACTGCTGATTTTGCAGATTGTCCTACTTACAAAGCATGTAGAGGTCATCATAGGTACACTTCAACTGTGAGAGACGGAATCTAAAACAAAAATCCAAAAAAAATCACATTGTATGATTTTTAAGTAATTAATTTGCATTTTATTGCATGACATAAGTATTTGATACATCAGAAAAGCAGAACTTAATATTTGGTACAGAAACCTTTGTTTGCAATTACAGAGATCATACGTTTCTTGTAGGTCTTGACCAGGTTTGCACACACTGCAGCAGGGATTTTGGCCCACTCCTCCATACAGACCTTCTCCAGATCCTTCAGGTTTCGGGGCTGTCGCTGGGCAATACGGACTTTCAGCTCCCTCCAAAGATTTTCTATTGGGTTCAGGTCTGGAGACTCCAGGACCTTGAGATGCTTCTTACAGAGCCACTCCTTAGTTGCCCTGGCTGTGTGTTTCGGGTCGTTGTCATGCTGGAAGACCCAGCCACGACCCATCTTCAATGCTCTTACTGAGGGAAGGAGGTTTTTGGCCAAGATCTCGCGATACATGGCCCCATCCATCCTCCCCTCAATACGGTGCAGTCGTCCTGTCCCCTTTGCAGAAAAGCATCCCCAAAGAATGATGTTTCCACCTCCATGCTTCACGGTTGGGATGGTGTTCTTGGGGTTGTACTCATCCTTCTTCTTCCTCCAAACACGGCGAGTGGAGTTTAGACCAAAAAGCTCTATTTTTGTCCCATCAGACCACATGACCTTCTCCCATTCCTCCTCTGGATCATCCAGATGGTCATTGGCAAACTTCAGACGGGCCTGGACATGCGCTGGCTTGAGCAGGGGGACCTTGCGTGCGCTGCAGGATTTTAATCCATGACGGTGTAGTGTGTTACTAATGGTTTTCTTTGAGACTGTGGTCCCAGCTCTCTTCAGGTCATTGACCAGGTCCTGCCGTGTAGTTCTGGGCTGATCCCTCACCTTCCTCATGATCATTGATGCCCCACGAGGTGAGATCTTGCATGGAGCCCCAGACCGAGGGTGATTGACCGTCATCTTGAACTTCTTCCATTTTCTATAATTGCGCCAACAGTTGTTGCCTTCTCACCAAGCTGCTTACCTATTGTCCTGTAGCCCATCCCAGCCTTGTGCAGGTGTACAATTGTATCCCTGATGTCCTTACACTGCTCTCTGGTCTTGGCCATTGTGGAGAGGTTGGAGTCTGTTTGATTGAGTGTGTGGACAGGTGTCTTTTATACAGGTAACGAGTTCAAACAGGTGCAGTTAATATAGGTAATGAGTGGAGAACAGGAGGGCTTCTTAAAGAAAAACTAACAGGTCTGTGAGAGCCGAATTTCTTACTGGTTGGTAGGTGATCAAATACTTATGTCATGCAATAAAATGCAAATTAATTACTTAAAAATCATACAATGTGATTTTCTGGATTTTTGTTTTAGATACCGTCTCTCACAGTTGAAGTGTACCTATGATAAGAATTACAGACCTCTACATGCTTTGTAAGTAGGAAAACCTGCAAAATCGGCAGTGTATCAAATACTTGTTCTCCCCACTGTATACAGTGGGGGAAAAAAGTATTTAGTCAGCCTCCAATTGTGCAAGTTCTCCCACTTAAAAAGATGAGAGAGGCCTGTAATTTTCATCATGGGTACACGTCAACTATGACAGACAAATTGAGAGAGAAAAAATCCAGAAAATCACATTGTAGGATTTTTTATGAATTTATTTGCAAATTATGGTGGAAAATAAGTATTTGGTCAATAACAAAAGTTTCTCAATACTTTGTTATATACCCTTTGTTGGCAATGACACAGGTCAAACGTTTTCTGTAAGTCTTCACAAGGTTTTCACACACTGTTGCTGGTATTTTGGCCCATTCCTCCATGCAGATCTCCTCTAGAGCAGTGATGTTTTGGGGCTGTCGCTGGGCAACACGGACTTTCAACTCCCTCCAAAGATTTTCTATGGGGTTGAGATCTGGAGACTGGCTAGGCCACTCCAGGACCTTGAAATGCTTCTCTCGAAGCCACTCCTTCGTTGCCCGGGCGGTGTGTTTGGGATCATTGTCATGCTGAAAGACCCAGCCACGTTTCATCTTCAATGCCCTTGCTGATGGAAGGAGG